GACTTAATCACTCCAATTTAAAGCTTTGAGTTCAGATTGAGTTCAAATTTTACTTTATTTAACTTAGCTTGATCCATCATGTAGTGTTATACTGCCCAAATCATTAAGTATATACACACCTACTACCGTAAACTGTGAATATGAATTAGTTCACAGATGTTCTGTTGTATCACAGTGTTTGGTTGAAGTTGATTATCTGTTAGCCAATGGGTTCGAAAATCACTATGGGAACCAAATGAATTCATGATCACCTGGATAGATAGATAATTCACTCATATTGAATTCCAATAGCTCACTTAACATTGTAATTACCGCTGATAATGTTGTCTCGGTGGACAATGAAACCTTCCCAGTGAAAACCATCCATGTGAGAATGGACAACAACACTAAAAATAAAAGTTAAAATATATTTATTGTGTAGCTTAAGTAAGGATCATCCTATGTTTCATCTTACAAATTATTCCTCTTGTATACTGTCAAGGGATGACCGTTCCTAATCAACTTAAATGGTTCTACATATATATCAAACTATGCATTTAACTTTGCTGTATGTCTGTATTAGTTTTAAAAGTCCAGTAACTTTATGCTATCCCTTATATGAAGAATATTGTCCAGTCACTATACCATCTACCACATTGTTACTGGGATACATCTAAATGCAGATTTTAGTTGGAGGCATACTCTAATGATGGTGGAATGCCCGATTAATAACTGCCACCTCGGTGTGGTGGTGGTGGTTGATGTCGCACAGCGCAATAACCCAACGAGTTACTCTGGTCGTTACTAATGTTCTCCTAGATCCTATCATGCTAGAAAAGTAATTTGGATAGCGGTCCGATTAAAATCAGCTACCGTCATAGTGTAAGTCATTTACATTAGGTTGTGGAGGTCTGTAGGTGAAGTCGTGCTTCTGTCGAATAAGTATATAATGTCAGTAAGGTGTTTCTCTCAGGTGGCCAACAAGTCAGCTTTACCGGCCTTTCTCTTTCAGGATGGTGGGGCGGTGGTTGACAAAGGTCGATCCCGAAAATTCTACATCCCAACATACCTTGTGCGGCGATCCATAGGCGGTAGTAATATCCTCATATGGACACAACTCCGAAATCCATTTCAAATAGATTGTATGTGGCCGGCCTTAAACTGTTACCTCCTGCACTCTGTGGTTAGCCAACACTGATTCTCCTTCTGTTTCAGGTGCTCCAAGAAGGAATAAAATTCGAATGACAGAATGTGAAGTAATCTGAATGTTTCTCAATTACAACTTTGTCTGTACGTGCCACACACATACTGTTTGTGTTTGTGACAGAGCTAGTAGTCGAGACCTCGATTGGTGTAGCCAGCTTCAAACCTGTGTAACTCTCTGGCTGAATGTTAAGCGTGTAGATCGATGGTTCAAGGACTCACTCGATTTGAACTGTAGGCATTTCTGGTGACTGTTTAAACTCTCATCGACTAAAATTGATTATCAGCTTTTCCCGCATTTTCTGTTCAAATTCCATCTAACCCATCAGTCCACCTAGGCTGAATACATTTCAATATCATCCTTGTTAGTTTATTTACTAATCAATTAGTTGTTTCTCTAAATCATGTGCCTATTTGAGATATTACTTATAAAAGAGAGAGAGAGACAGAGAAAAAAAGACGAGAAACAACTCAAATTATGGTAGCTAATATGGTTGGTACATGAATATCTGTATCAGATTTTGTAAATACTTATCAAATTTCAGTCAAGAAAAAAAAACTATGATAAAATTATGCATATATTTCTCTCTCACTAGGTTCTCATGAATTTGTAACAAGATTACACTATATTATATATATTACCTGATGTAGAGAGTTGTGCTAACTAACAACTTACTAGTTCACGTAATTACAATTATTTCCTAGTTATTGATAATAAAGTCAATCATTTACCTATCTATCAATATGTACATGGCGTGTATTATTATTATTGTTATTAAACAACTATTAAAAATCTATTGTTTACATCTTGGGTACATATGATCCAGTCAGTTAAACTAGATTATTGATTGTGATCTGCTGGGTAATTGTTACATGTTTAACATCATCTAGAAATACTATTGGAAAACCAAGGAGTACTGGACAGCCGGCTGTTTCATTCTGCTTGCAGACTTTTTAGCAGCATGCGCACCCACCGTCAGGGTTCGAACCCACGACCTTCCGGTTACAGGGTGAGCTCGTAGAGAGCATTCAATAGCCCATGGAATCCTACTTTTATTAGTAGTTCGCAATATATTTAAGTGCAGCCTGCAGCCAGTGTCACAGTTGCAAGATTTGCAAGAGATTTTATGCTGAAGAGTCCTAAACTGGGACGAAACATCTTTGCGTTACTTACTGATGGTTTTTTAACTGATATCAGCTCTCGATCAAACCTGTAACCAATCAAATCTCTGTGAACTAACACTTAATGAAAAATTATTTATTTGATAAGATGATGATTTTAAATAATTTTATGAGAGAATTTATTGTTTTGCTTACTACTTGCTTTCTAGTCAGTCATTAGCAAGTTCACATTATGTGACACTCGTTTGCATATCAGTTGTGTTGTTTTCAGGGCTATTCATTCACTCCTCTGTGTCATACTTACTCCTCACTGTGCTAGATAGATCAACCTACGTACCTACTGTGATGCATTACTCACTAACGTTTGTTATTTTACCATAAGAGAGATATGTAAATTTCCGTATATTATTATGCAGATTTATGGTTAACATTTTATGAAGTTGATAGTTACTTGGATATTCGAAAGGCTAAACTGAATAATTGAGATTATATTTTTCTGTATCTACAATATTTTTGTAAAACCGGTGTGGTTTCAGTTGTTATTGGTTCACGCTTGAATGTTTTGTCTAGGTGCGTGTGTGTGTGGGGGGGGCATCTGTTGATTCTAGACTTGATTCAAGATATTATGCCTCTTATTCGGTTGGCTAGGAGATATGTTGCTTACGCTTGTCACTGCTTTCGTTGATGAGCAATGTTAGAGGACATGGGATTATGTTGGAAAAGGGCTATGGGTGATCGAAACAAACCCTGGCGTCACAATCCACGGAGTCTTTGTCTTTGACACAGTTGGTTTGAGACACATAAGCAAATGTAGACCACCTGTTTGCGGCGGGGGGAGGTCCTCATAATGCTAAGAACCAATGGCTTGAGGTGACTGATAGTGATGTGACTCAACAATCGTTGTCAATGGCGCAGATACATTCGCTCTTTGTTGTCTTTTGGATTCATTGAATCCTCACGTTTTTCCAAAGAATTATTCTTTCTCTCTTACTTTTCTTTTTCTATTATAGTTCTTTTAAATTTCTTTTCCCCACCTTTTTGTAATATGTGTAGAAAGTGTGACAACTCCAAATGGTGATGCACTTGTGTGTAAAGTTCCATCTCGAAACCAAGTCAGTCAGTCGACATTTTCTTGGTATCTTTGGAGTGAAGTTTACTTTTTCAGGAATTTAAAGTATTGGTTTTGTAGGGATTTAGTTTGATTGGATGAAAGATTTCATCATAAGCTGACATCAGTAAGAGAACCATTGGAAAACCTGCAGGGAGTACTGGATAGCTGCCTCATCCTAGTTTGGGACTCTTCAGCAGTACGCACCCACTGGGGTTCGGACCCAGGAACTTCTGGTTACAAGTCGAGCTCGTAGATCATTAGGCCACTGAAAACTGTTCCAATGACCAGCCCATGAATTCTATCTTCTGCCAATTCACGACATAGCGCGATCATTTCGCAATGTCTTCTTCGATGAGTTACTGCCTCATCTTCAACCTGCTGTACCCTACTGGTCACGGCCACCGACTAAGAACCCAGGTCACTGCCGGAATAGGGCCAGTCTCTAGTGAGCATCAGATTGATGAAATCTTGTGACCGCATCTACGCTTTCCTGTGAACTGTCAAAATAGTCTGGAGGCTTACATTGATGACCGTAGACACCTACTCTTACTATAAAATGCCAGGTTTATAATGTCTTATAGAATACAATCATCGCGACATCTAGATAACCAATGGCTATTTGTGTTTCGTTATCCTAGTATTTTTCAGAATAGTTAATGCTCTGCTTGGGAAGTTTTATGTGAAGCAGTAGAAAAGAGTGTTGATTGACTGATTAATTGTATACTGTGTAAATTGAGGATTTGATATATGGTGTTACGAGTTCTCTCAAGAAATCAGATGGTTCGAGCTGACTTGGCTCTCTGAGCTGAGTCAAAGCAGATACACAGCTGATAGCCTGACCGATAGCTGCTACCTTGACATGGTGGTCGGGCTTGCATATCGCAATGATCCAACAAGCTACACTGGTTGGAACTATTGTTCCTTCAGGTCGTACCATGCTAGGAAGGTTGTTAGGATAGCGATTAGACTAAAAGCAGTTACCGGTATTTTGTAAGAAAGAAAAGATCGTCCCCAACAATTGTACATGCCGACTTACCCCACGGTGGTTCGTAACCGGCAGTAAGTTTACCAAAACGCAACATTAGCCCTCTTTCTGTTTCAGGTACCCGAAAAATCAATCAACTTCCACGGTGTGGGCAGCCGGGAAGTAACAACCGCCTACACACTTCGAAGAGCACACGAAGCCTTCCCGAGCATCATTCTTTTTTACCCACACAGCTGATAAACTCTTCCCTAAACGAGCAAAACGGCCGTCCAGTGTTTAATTCACTTCGAAATGGTTAACAAGCTCCACTCACTGGTTGGTGTTTGTGGTATGCTACTACTCATCTCGGTCTATCAGTAGTACACAACTGGTGTTGATTCGATGAACAATGATTCGGTAGTTGACCTCTCTCTTTCTCTCTCCACCTAAGTATGTCAAATGAACTCATCTGGTATGTGTAGTTATTTTACCATAGCTCTGAAATCCTACTCTTAAATATTTATTATATTTTGTTATTTTATGGATAATCTCGTCCCGACGTGTGTTTTGCTTCATCGTATAACTCCAATGTGTTTTATTTTGTCTACATTATTTATCTAGTCAACAAAGTCTATACACTTTATTGAAGGCCTACACAATTCGACATCCAGAGAAAGGTTATTGTCAAGGACAAGCACCGTTAGCAGCTGTTCTCCTCATGTTTATGCCTGAAGTGGACGCTTTTTGGACTTTCAATGAAATTTGTGAACGTTATTTAGAATCTTATTATGATGATGGTTTGGTAAGTTGTACTGTTTTCAATTTTTTTTAATTTCTCAGTCTGGTAATGGTAGTGATCTGTCCAAATCAATCGGCCTGACTATTTTTCCACAGAGTACATACAGATCGTTAAATTTACCTACTGTTTATACTTTGTTGTAATCACGTCTATTTGCATCCTTGATGAACAATCTGTATTCATATGAATTTTTGAAATAGCTTTCAACATACCGCTTGATCTGTTCTGAATAGACAGATACATTGGAGGTTGGAGACTGACTGAATGGTTTCAAGGTAGAACTTTGCACATATGTGCAGCAGTTCGAGTTGCCGCACTCCCTCCATGTAGCACACCAAGCAAGTGAAGAGAGCAAATAGAGATAATAAATAGAAATATGAGGCAAAAAGAATAGTAATATGGAAGAACAGTAGAATTTTATTGGGCAATATAAATAATAAGGAGTGAATGCATCAGTACCAGCCAACTATCTGCAGCCTCCATTGGTTTTTACCATCTTGAGGACCCCAACTAGTCAGGAAGTCCACACTTCCCTACATGGCGGCTGGCTTAACCTAACTGTTGTGGATTTCATTGACTGATGAAGCCATGTTTTTCGTTTGACCACCACTAGCTTTCTCTTTTCTAACTATATCCATCCTATGTCAGCGGCTACCATTGCCTGTCGGTCGAGGAAGGCGATCGATGGCTAGAGATACATGCGTAACACATGTCTTAACCATCTTAATCAATGTAGCTGCTTCACAACCTCGTCGATTAATTTCCACTCCCACTTACCTAGCATTCGACGAAAGCTTAACCTCAATATTGCTCACCTTATTAAACCACCTTAACACGGGAGATAGAATGCAGACATCTATGATCAAAGACAGCAATCCAGCCTTTTCGTGTCTTCTACTTCCAATGGGTGTGTATCGCTCACTGCTGCTCTGAGCAGTACACACGTCCTTTGGTCGACATCCAGCTAGCCGGACATGACGTCTACTAAGCGAGAGATGGCGTAAGTTGGCAGGCAAATGCCAAACGAGACTTATTTATCGGTGCTGAGATTTCGTCAGCGATCAACCCACTTGGGCTGGCAGATGCAACTCTCCAAATAAGTAGAGTGGTCAACACGCTCCACCAACCACTTCACTCCTACCTATCTTTAAGCTAGGAATAAGTCAATGTAGTCCACTCCAGTCCAGTCGTGTAGCATCATGGTACGTTTGACGGGAACAAATCACATACCAAACATTCGAAGATTGCTGCACAGCTCGAGGTGTTGAGAAGATTCTGCATTTTGTTAACGTCTTCACTCGGTTTGGAGCATGTTACACATACAGTGAAATTCTATGGGGTGATATACTGCAGTTTATCTTTTTTACGTGAAGATTTCTGTATAGAGAGTAGATAACATCAGACTGCAAATTTCGTACTGTATTACGAGTAAGTAAAGAATTCAGGAGATTGTAACTGTCTGATTGCTGTTTTAATTCTGTGTTACTCAAGTTAACTGGTCAGGTAGTGCTTATAAAACTGAATTGAAATGTTCCTAATTGATTAATTAGCCATTTGTATATTTTTCTCAAAGTAAATTATTTTTAACATAACTTATATTATCTAAAAGTCATAAATTTATAATCCCATCAAGAATTTGTAATGTTTATTTGGTAATTTGTTGAACGAAAACCGGGACATACTTGTTTACTATAAAATGTTAAAAGTCAACTGGTGTAAGTTTCCTTACAGAGCCTACCACTCATTAATCTCTAAACATTTGACTTCTAACTGTTTAAATGAACTATAGTAGTTCATGTTGAATAAAGCTCAGTGATATGCAGATGTGGCTGACCTGATTGGTCTAGATAGGGCTGGGCTTTATCTGGTGGTTACATGAGAGCATCTGGAGAGGATGACTGAAGTCTACGCATGCTTTTAGCCGAATGAAGTCGCATATGAGTCTGTAGACCTAAATTTCGTACTGGTTTTGATACTGGGTGATGCTGTTTCTACTAATGTCTAAGAAAACATCAGTCCCGTCGTCGTGGTAGGAGGTACGCTTTTCTGATGAGTGTCCAGTAATCACCAATTACTGTTCCAAGACTTAACAGAGGTTTACTGATATGTATCCACATATATATTTATGTGTGTGTGTATGTTGGTCTCTCTTTCTGTTTGCTCGCTTAGTCTGTGACCATTTCACTTGTGTGAACTTGTCTCCTTTAATAATGTGTATTCTCCTTATATTATATTATATATAATATGAGTGTTAGTTGACAGTCCGTTGTTTGGTGACATACATCCATATATGTTTGTTGACATGTCTGCTATATTCGCTATGTCTATTTGGATCGACACTCCATTATAATTAGCCATTCATGTTAAGACTGTCTAATGATTTTTCCCACGCTTGTCTGGAACATTCATATATATTCGCATTCACAATCCATGTGAAAAACTTTACTTTACTTACTTACCACTTTGGTGTGAGACTATTTATTTTCGTCTCCTTGTGTTTGGACAATAGAAGTATCATCGCAAACCTAGTGGTCTTCTGATTTCCGCCTTCTCGCGTCAGGACAATTAGTTTCTCGACCAGTCCATAACAATAATTTAGCGACGAGTACATAACATTTACCTCCAGAACAAACTCGCCGTCTAACATCCTTATTCATTAACTCTCTATGATAACTACTTAATTCACAGAATTATTTCCAGTATTAACAGAACTTCAAGTAACTTGTATTTACATTACAGTTATTTCTTTTGCTAATAAATAACCACTCTGATTTTCTTTTGGAAATTTATGTATAGGAACGGGTACAGATAGATGGGGAAGTTTTGTACGCTCTACTGAAGTCATTACATCCTTCTATATACAAATTCTTGGTGAGTTTCTTTTATTATTTCCTTCGATTCTTGTTTTTACACCTCATTTTGTTTTCACTTCACATCTGGTTTACTCTAGCTGACATTATCTATGAGATGGTTGGGGGAAGTCAGTAATAAGCACTGAACTTAGGTTTCGTGTTTGCCAGCACTCTTCAGCACGGTGTATCTGCAATCATGAAGGAACTTATATCCATTCTGAGGTCTGAACACGGGTCACTCAGTGCGGTCTGTAGTTAGAGACGTTACCACTAAGCTATTAGGGCTCACGATTGACCTCCTGTTGGCCTGTAAGGGATACTTTCATTGGACAGCAGACAGTAACATGATGTCATGCGTCTAGTTCTTCTTTTTGATGGAGTTCATTCTGCACCAAACAAAGGAATAGGACATTAGTTACTACCCAGGGTCCAGTGAAAGTAACGTTGCCTATGTTACCATGGTGACTGTTGAAATGCATAAAATAATGTCCAACTCAGTTTATAAATTTATTTCAGATTCACAAACTTGGTGTTGTTTCTGTTATATGTTGGGGATTATATAGTAGTGCTAAGTTGTGGGTTCAATACCAGTTACTGATCGCCGATTACTTCTGATCCCAACAGCCCACGAAGGTGAATATAGGAAAAAGACAAACAGGTTCGTGCTTGCGAGAACAATTCCATTTTATGATACAGAAATAGATTATACGCAAATATTACGTATCTCTGAAGGTTAAATCAACAAAGAACCAATTTTATTGGTTACATAAGGTCAAGCTTCTATGTTGCCTAATCGCATTTTAATAAGTATTCTTCCTCGACTTAATGGTTGGATTCGCACAAGCCGGTCTAAGCCTGTTTTAGCCCCCATGAGCGACCTGGTACGGTCGTGTGTGGGTGGTAGACTCCGGCCTTCTTCAAATGCTCTCATGTGACCACGCGTTCACAACTTCTAACAGATAACCCCTATTCATTGCCTTCAAGGGTTTTCCTTACAAAAGTTCAAAGGCTAGTGCGAACGTCCAGCGCTTAAAACCGGACTTATGAACTTGCAAGTCTGACTAGGACAGCTAGGAGATGCTAATTCCAAATTTATGGTGTACATGGTCTTCAAAATCTGAACGAACTGAATGACGTATGGTCACCGGAAATCATGGGAATGCGGATCCTGAATTTGCTGTACTGTTTTGTGGGTCAGACTTCCAGAAAGGTTGGTGCCTTAAGATAATCACCTGCCTTGGTCTGGGTCTCGGAACACTGTCTTAGTGCTCGCACAAACTATGAGTTTTTGTATGTCTCATCTCCTGGTACCCATAATGCACTAAGCTTGTATTTCCAGTAATAATAAATTAGCTGTATATTTATGCCACATTTCAAGTAATATACAATGGAAAACTTAGCGAAGAGTTTGTAGTGGAGACAGGGGTAAAATAAGACTGCCCACTATCACCGATGATATTCTTGGTTGTGGTGGACTAGATTATGCAACAGACTGGTAGGTCTGAGAAGACAGGCGTATGTTGGATTGACGAAACGACTCTGGACTTTGTGTATGCTTTATGACAGTGAAGTCAGGAATTCAAATGAACATAGAGAAAACAGAGGTGATGAAGTTACCCAACCAACACCAACATGCACTAATCACTATCAACAGGAGAAAGTTGAAGAGAGTTATCTCTTTCCTCTGCCTAAGCAGTTTGTTTTAAGCCATAGGCGGTGTGGATAAGGCTATTTTAAGCAAAATCAGAAAAGCGAGACAGACCTTTATTAGTCTGAAATCACTGTGGGAATCTACTGTTCTAAGCATAAAAAGATATGATTAGAATTCTCAGCACACACACACACGATTGACTTGACGTCTGATCCACAAGACAGTGAAGCTGTGTTCACATTTTTTCTAGTGACCATAACAGGTTCATACTCCCTCTCATCCATTGGGATTTTTGAGCCTATGTGCACCCTAGGTTTGAAATCAGCACTTCTCAACTCCTCTAGGTAGACTAGCATGCCGACCAATTTCCTGGTTGTATGCTCTCCAAATGTTCGAATTCATCCTTTCACTTTTATGTGAGGAACACGCGTATGTGACTTGCCTGACAGTGGCAGAAGAAGGCTACGAACGCCTGGTTATATGTGACAGTATTTCAGCCTCCATACCAAGTCGTTGGTCTCGAACTAGTAATAATAATAGCTTTATTCCCAAACAGTTCTTGTGATACAGAATGGAATTCTCAGCATTTTACCACAGTATTTACAGTATTGCATCCAGTTAGTACATTATCAATAAATAAAATTCTACATAGATTAAGGAAATCTCAGTTCATTATGACAACAACTTATTAGCATGTCGATAGCAAAGCCAAGATTGAACAGAATGTTTGGAGGTGTTAGAAAAGTAGATGCTTGCATATTTACTGCCTGGCGTAAGCGGAAGAAAGAAACAAAGCAGCATATAACAGAAAAAAATGAGAGAGAGAAAAGGAAAAGCGAAAAATAAAACGTTGTACCTATAAATGATATGAGTTGGGAAGACGAGATCCAGTTGTTCTACTGACTATTTAATAAGTTATAGGTGGTATCACGCCTAATGCTTTCTTCTTTATCGCACAGAACACGAGCTAAGTAGGTAGGGTATGGTTGAGTTGGGTTTTTGTACTTGCTAGTGCGAGCATATAGTTTTGTATATAGGCATCTGGTCTGCCTGTCTGCCTGATGAGATACGAGGGTAGAGTTGTGAATGAAGAGGTTGGTGGTGTGAGTTAGATAGATAGAATGGATTTAGCCCATATTTCACATGAGTCCAAGTGCTTGTCGACCAGAATATTAACAAGCTGGTTGGTTAAGTGGCACATTGCTTACCTTGCTGACAATCTTTAACATCCTGAGTAATAAGGTATAGGCAGAATGGGAGAGTTAACGAATTGTAGGAGTAAGGATTGGGTTGGGTTATACCTCAATGTCTTAACTTCTTGATGTAGAAGATAAGATGGACTACTCAAATCAATTAGTAGTATGTATCGTGTATTGTACACTATTGTACTTATTATCTTGGTACTATTTTGTGTGGATCAAAGAGGGTATATAATAGTACTTTGTGTGAGTTTGAGTGTGTGTGTCTGTAAAACCCGAATAGTATGCGTTTTAGAAGCCAGGCTTATCTGAATACTTAATAAATCAAGTTAGTATTTAGTGTGTACAGTTAGTTTACTGTAAAAACAATAGCTGAGTAGTTAGTGTGCATAGGATCAATTAAGCAGAATGATACATTGACATATTAGATGTTCAGTTAAATAATATCGAATAGTATAATTTATGTGTATTGTGCATTCAAAGTTCTTATAAAATCTCTAAAAAGCTTTATATTAATGCACACATATATATATCAACCTATGAACGCATATAATTGCGTGATTAATTGCATCTATCTGTTTATAGTTTAATTCGGAATGATATATGTGTTATGTATATTACTTTACTGTAGCAAAATATAGGTAGATAGATAGATACGTAGAGAATGAACAGTTTAAAGTCTATTTAGTCGTAAAGTTTGAATTTGTCCTGTTCTTGTTTTGTTCTTTTCGAAAATATCAACCAACCGACCTACCTACCTACACCTATCTTCCTCGTCATTCAGCTTAGCTTTGTTTTATGCTGTGATATCTCTTATTTTGTGGTATTCTTTTTCTGTGGCACATTCAATGTTGTTTTTTAATCCATATTTGTTTGTTTATTAGATGTATCACACAGTGAGTGAAACAGTATTATCATTTACTGGATGACAAGGTTTCGAAAAAAATTTATTACTGTTCATAATCATTTCATCAATTATAATCACACGACTTCGAAACTTGAATTTTATAGTTTTCTTTGTCCTCTCCTATTTGTCGTCGTCGTGGGTAGTAGAATTTCCAGATATCTGGGTGGACAGGTGTTGAATCATTCCTATTACATGTATTTGCAGTTGATTCGATAAACAAAGCTTCCGTTGTTATCAATCTCTTCCTCGATCCACCCTGTGACATTAGATTGTAGAACTGTCCTCCTATCTCATCCAGCCTATTGTATGGTTGTGCGTAATTGCATTTAGTGAATGCTATCTACAGCTGAACTATTCTCTAGATTTCTTATCTTATTCGGGTCAACCAAACTAGATTTCGCTGCTAGGTTTTCATGCTCGGCTAATCTGACTGCCGCCCCTGTTCTGCATGCAATTACACACAATCATGCAGTAGGATGGGATAAGTTGACAGTTCTAAAATCCAATGTCACAGGGTGGAGGGAGAGATTGATAACAGAAGCTTTGTTTATCGAATCAACTCCGAACACGTGTAATAGGAATGATTCAACACCTACCCAGCTAGATATCTGGAAAATTCTACTAACCCTACGACGATGACAAATAGAAAGAACAAAGAAAACTATAAAACTCAAGTTTTCAAAGTCGTGTGGTTATAATTGATATGATTATGAACAGTAATAAATTTTTTTCGAAACCTTGTCATCCAGTAAATGATAATACTGTTTTACTCACTGTGTGATACAACTAATAAACAAACTAATATGGAATTACTTACTACCACTACAGTGTCCAAGTTTTACACATATATTAATGTTGTTTACTATCTTGAAAAAAGATGACACTACATGCTAATTTGAATCAATTTTTAACCTTTTTTTTTGTAATATTAATCTTTTCCAAGAATCCTTGGGGGGGGGTTATTGTCTTAGGGTATGGGAAACATTTCCTGGTGTTGGATAGATTTTGCTGTGTAGAGATGCGCGAGTTTCGTTCATTGCACTGTATCACAGCACTTACAGTCAATACTACAACTAACGAAGTGGTTATGAGGAAAGCTGTGAATATAATTCAAAGAAGATTAGCGTGTAGCACCATAATGTGCCGAAAAGAATGTCATTAGATGCAAGACTACCTAGCAAGTGCTATTGGCAGATATTATTCTTGTGATACGAGTCATGTCATCAGTTTCCAACACAGTGTTCCAGGGGGGGTAAATAGAC